CGACCCCTTCTTGGCTCCGGGGCTGTGCTGGTCTCTCTCGGTGCTCTTCTTCTGCTTCACGGCAGACTCTTCGAGGAACTTGAGGAAGGACACTTCAAAGCCCATGGGCTTGAAGGAGCTCCAGTCGAAGGCCGCGGGCTGCTCCTCGGCCGTCTGAATGGCCACGGCCGTTTCCTCCTCCCTGGGAGGGCTGCTCCCCTCGGTGGGCTGCGCCTCCTCGGGTTTGTCGGCTTTCTTCCTCTTATTCTGAGCCACGTTTTTTTCTTTGCTTGCCCTTTTCAGGTTGTTTGCTTTCTGCCCCTCTGAGGGGCAGGAGTCGGGCTCCTGCACGTCGCTGCTCACGCCGGGAGGGACCTGTGCTTGGCTTTCGGCAGTGGAACAATCCTCGTTAATCAGTTTCGTACTGAACAGCTCTGTCAGTTCATCCACTTCGTCCTTCTCGCTCTTTTCAGGCTCCTGCTGTGGTAAGGTAGTTGTGCTTGAATCATTATTGCTCACTATCAAACTCGGTTCAGGCTCCTTCCCCTCAGGCTTCGCGTCAGCCTCCTGCTGCTCGCGGGGGGTCTCGGTCGCCTGGGGGACCGAGTGCTTTTTAGACACAATAAGGAGGTTCCTGTGTTGGGAAGTAAATGCTTTGGAGAGCTTGTGGCACTTGTAATGCCTTATGATGTTGCTCTCACTCGTGACCACGGAGGAGCAGCCCTTGATCATGCAGGGGTACTGCGTCAGGAACCTGCTGGTGCACTCCGACAGCGCGTCGTTCCGCGCCTTGATGGAGTACACGTGCTTGCCCCGCTTCAGGGAGTAAGCCTTGTTCTCCTGCACTTGGATTCCCTTGGAGTTCTTGTTCTCCAGGCTCACGCTCTTCTTCCGTTTCGTTTTCACCGACAGCCTGTTGCCTTCCTTCCCTGACCTGTTTTTGAGTCCTCTCTGTTTAGACTTCAGTGGTTTCTCCTGGTTTGCTTTGCTGGAGATGTTTTCCTGGCCTGGCGTCAACCTCCTGGGCCTTATTAGGTGATCTTTATGCCTCTCGTTGTGTTTGTTAAAAATGTGCCTCAGGAGGTTGGACCTGGTGGCATAGATACGATCGCAGCCTTCGCAGTCACACTTGAACACACCGTCGTCCTCCACCTTGCTGGGCCTGATTTTCACGCTGTGATCCGTCTCCAGGTGCACCACGTAGCTGAGATAAGCTGTAAACGAAGACTTACACTGAGACTGGTCACAAAAGAACCTTCCCACCTCCGGGGCCGACTTCATGCTCCCGATCTGCTCCGGGGTCATGTCGTGGAGCTTCACGTAGTGCTGGATCAAGCCGGTGACCTCCTGGAAGATGCGCGAGCAGTCGCTCACCTCACACCTGAACTCCCTGACGGCAGGTTTGGCCTCCGGCTCCTCACGCTCCTCCTTGCCCTGCTCGGTCTCCTCCTCCGCCTCGGCGGGAAAGGCAGGCAGGTCTGACTTGTGCACGGCCTGGTAGTGCAGGATGAGGTTCTGCTGGATGGTGAAGGCGGCGAAGCAGCCCTGGTGGACGCAGCGGTAGGGTCTGTAGGGGCTGTAGCGCGGGGGGAACTCCAGGGATTTCGGCACCGGCTTCCGAACGCTTCTCTCCTCCTTCTCCTTCCTGTACTTCCTCGCCTTGCGCGCCTTGGCCTCTGCCTCTGCGCTGCCCAACGAGGCTGCGCTCGGCTGCTCCAGCGGAGCAGGCACCACCTGGGGAGGCTTCTCCAGTCTTTCGGGAAGATTGTTCTCTGGGAGAAGTTTTTCCAAGACTTTGACAGGCTCTGCAACTTCCTTTATCTGAGCTTCCTTGAGCAGCGGAGCGACGGCTTTGTTGTCTGTGACTAGTGCCTGCAGAGTTTTGATCTCGACGGGCCGCGGGGCTGTGCTGACGGTTTCCCCTTGAGATCTCCTGCCATAAGGCCTTTTAATTTTCAGCTTCACCATCTCCTCCGTCGTGAAGTGGTGGACGAGCTGACAGTGCGCGCGGAGGTTGGAGTTCCTCGTGAAGGTCTTCGGGCAGGTGGGTACGACACATTTGAACGGGGCGTACTTCAGCTGATGCTTCTTGATTTCCAGAATCATCTCCGCAGTGTACTGGTGGACCTTGCCGTAGTGTTTAAACAGCGCGTCCTTCGTCATGGCGCTGTAGCTGCAGCCTGGGTTCTGACACACGAAGGGTTTGTTCACTCTCTCACCAAACTGAAGGTTACTCGTCTCTGCAGAGATCTGCACGAGGGGTTTGTTCTCCAGCGACATGAGGGGAATGGCTGCTGTGAGCAAAGCTGCCGGAGGACACTGGGAAACACTCTCAGGGATGTGAACGGGAGAATCATCTTCCAGTTTCAGCTTCTGCAAGCCCTCCAAGATCTCCAGCATTTGAGTCTCATCCTTCTGAGTCGCCTCAGACTGGGCAGAGCCACCCTTTGCAGCGGTGACACTCCCCGTGTGCACGGAGAACTGGGCAGGACTGGGCAGTTTTACACCACGTGCAGAACTCTCCGAAGAAGCCTGTGTGTTATTTCCTTGGGAGCTCTGTCCCGGAGCAGCAACAGTATCCTGAACTTCAGTTTTCACCTCGAGCCTCTGTGAGCTCATAGCAGTTTTAATGATTTCCAGGGTTTTCTCGAAGTTCTGCATAACAGTGTCCTCTGAAATCTGTCCCTCTGAACTTGCCTGCACACAGGAACTCACAGCCACCATTTGGGAATCCCCATTTTCAGTCTTGACTGTCAAAGGGGGTAGTGCTGCATGAGCCTCCAGGTTTGGCTTGAAGTTCTCTTTGAGACTGGCCATGAACAACTGATTGTCAACGTTGTTGAGCTTCTGCGTGAGGTTTTCCACCGCTGCCTGAGGGCCACAGTTTGCCAGCAAGTTGGGCTGGAACCCTTCTCCCTGGATCTGCACGTTTCCTTCCGTGCTCTTGGTGAGGAGCCCCAAGGCTGCTGCGCCACTGACTGCTGCTTTCTGGGGCGTGTTGGGCACGAGTGGGGGAGTAGCTGTTTTTCTCTTCCTCTTTGAAGAGCTGGTTCCCTTCTTATTCAAGCTGCTTGACCCTGAATTCTGGGGACTGCTTATAACTGAGACTCGCGAACTGTTCCCTGCAAAGCTTTGTGCGGCTGCTGCCACCGCACTGGGCAGCGAGGCAGGACGTTTTCCAGAGTCTTTAGCATTAATTCCTCTGTGGCGAAAGCAGGCAGGGCCTTGCAGTCGTTCACTGGGGGGATTTTGGCATTGAGGGGCCTGTTTTGGTCAGTTAGCAGGGGGCTGGGGCTGCAGACTGGCTGCAGCAGGGGGGAGGCAGTTGAGTTGGGGAGCACAGCTGCGTTCACCTGCGCCGTGCCGGAGACGCAGCTGGTGGGAACCACACGTGGAAGTGCTTCCGTGTTCTCGAAGCTGCTGGGGACGCCTGCGGTTTCCAGGGCTTGTTTGATGATCTGATTTCCCTCCTCGTTGCCGCTGGGATTACTAAAGCTAGCCACAGTGGCCCGTGGAAACATGGACTGCAGCAAGGCTGTGGATCGGTTCTCGGCCGCCAGGAACTGCAGGAAGGAGGGATCTTTGAAGCAGGACTCTGGGCTGAAGGCTGACTCCGGGGGCTGCTGCAAGCTCAAGGAATTGGAAGAAAGAATCATACTGGCGAGCAAAGACTGGCCATTAGCCTGCAGAGCTTCTGGAGAGATCTCTGATCCTTCGAGAGGTTTACAGTAAGACCTCTTAGATAAGTGACCACCGAGTGATCTAGGATTGGTGAAAACCCTGAAGCACCTGCTGCAGATAAATTTGCCATCCCTAATTATTGCAGGCCACTTTGCCCTCTTGTTATGCTTTGGCTTCCGTTCCTTCCCATTAGGGCCCTGGCCATGATCCTCTTTCACCTTGTCTGAAGTTGGGTGTTGGGAACTAGCTTCACTGAAGTTATTTTCACTGCTCAATCGTGAGGGGAATATTTGATCAACGCTCTCCTCTTTAGGGAAAGCAGAACTAGTGTTTCCTTCTAGAGGCAATGAAAAGCTGTTTGTGCTGCTTTCCAGCTGTGAGAAGACTGAATTTGGAGGATTCTCTGCTGACGAAGGAAAGAGAGACATTGGGCCATTCTCTGCAGGCAAAGGAAGGAAAGGATCCGAACCACCATCAATATTCAGAGGCATAACCGTTTTTGCCAGGTCATCCAGCTGGGAAGGTAAGGCTGCCCCAGACAGGCTTTCCATCTGTGAACACAAAACACTCTCGGGTTCACTTTTAATCCGAGCGGACAAACTCGGGTTTATGACGCTTCCCACTACAGGCAACATGGGACTGGCCAAATTTTCCAGGTGGGCTGGGAAAAGAGTACTTGGGACGTGCTGCACCTGGCTGGAACAGGCAGGACTCAGCGTGGCCTTGCCCTGTGGAGTGAAAGCAGTGGTGCTGGGGCTGCCCACCTGGGGAGGCAGGAGGTAGATGACCTTCCCGTCGCCGGGCACGGCGCCGGATTTCCGCGGCTTCTTGTTCCTGCGCTGCAGTTTGAAGGCAGCGTACTCCTCGGGGTGTGCTGCCTTCATGTGCTTGCCAATGCTCTGGGAGGAGTTGTAGGTGCGAGTGCAGCCCTCCACCTGGCAGCTGAACTTCTGTGCTGGGGCTGCCGGGGGCACGCTCGGCTGCGCGGGGAGAAAGGTAATGCTTTCCAGGGTTTTTAAAGGCAGGTTATACAGATTAGCTGCAGCTTTAATACTGTCCTCGATTTCAAACTTGGGCACGGGCACACTGTTTCGATACCCTGTCTGGTTCTGCACGCTGAAAGGGTTGACAAGGCTCACTTGCCTTTCTAAGCTTTTTGATTCGAGGGCTTCTGGTTTTAGTGTGTCTGAGGTCACAGGAGTATTCTGAGTCTGGCTGAGACAGTCTTCTTCCTTTCTCTCTTGGAAAACTGGAAGACAAGAGTCCACGGGTGGGCACAGCTGCTGGACTCCAGGTACAGGGGCATCCACTTTGGTGGCAGCAGCAGGCAATTTCCCTCTTTTCACAAAGTTCTCTCGGATCTTCTGGCTAACTGCAGACAGCTTAATGCTGCCTGCTGGAACTGCCACCTCTGTCTTCACTGCCCCCACGGGAGGCTGCTCGGAGGCAGCACCAGGCAGGGGATCCCTCTGCTGCAGCACACTCACCGACGTGCTCACACTCTCATTCCCCACTGGCTCTGCCTTGATCTGGTTCCAGACGTTCTCTCCTTCAGCGAAAGCACTTCGGCTGTCAGCTGGAGGAGATGCCAGTTCCTCCTTAACAGCAACTCCATCTGTGTTTTCATCAGCTTTGGAAGGCTGGCTGAGATCAGCCTGATCAGTCTGGCTGTCAGGCTGCTGCTCCTTCTCAGGCTGCTGGTTGTGATCCTCCACGTGCTTCTCCAGCTCGCCCTGGGAGCGATACACCTTGCCACAGCCTGGCACTTTGCAGGTGTAGGTGTTGTAGTGTTGTGCTTCGTGGTCATAGAGCAAGTAAGCTTCGGAAAACACTCTGCCACATTTAGGGAACATACACTTGGCTCTGAAGACCTGATGCTCCTTCCGGTGTGTCAGCAGCTCGGCGTAGCTGTTGAAGCCAGCCTTGCACTTCATCTGGATGCAGATGTAAGGTTTGCTGCCACAGTGCATCTGCAGGTGGTCATTCAGGTGAGTGACACTCACAAAGTGGCGCCTGCAGTACTGACAGATCACCTTTTTGCTCTGCATTTCCAGAAAACGTTTAGCTTCTTCGTTATCTTTGTGCCCCTTGGCGTGTGCTATTAGGTTCTTGAAGTACTTAAAGCCTTTCTTACAGAAGGTCACGGGGCAGGTGAACTCATTGACAGGGAGAGGCTTTGGGACTGGCACTATCTCAGGTATGTAAGGTTTGTCCTTGTCGTCGTTCTCGTCATCTGAGCCGTCGTTGTCGTTAAACACGATGAAGTCTGTGGAGTAGAGACTGTTCTTCTTAATGGGTCTCTGCTCCTGCTTGGACACAGCATTGGTTTTCTGATTCTCATTGGCAGTTGCTATTTTAGGAGGCCTTCCCAGCCTCCTCAGTGGTTTCATAGCAGCCAGCCTCTCTTTGCTGGATTTTTTAACATGCAAAGTCACATGGGGAACAAAGTTCTCTTTAGAATTAAAATTCTGGGCACAAATGGGGCAACTATAAACCCCATCTTTGTAGTGTTTCTGTGCATGTCTAACTATCCTGTGGCCCAGGAACTCCTTGTCACACAACACACAGTACTGCATGTAAGCTTGCCAGTTCCGAAACCTGGCTGATATGAACCCCCTCTCTCTGAGTTTTTTGATCTCTCTCTTCTTCTGCTTTTCGTCTCTGATACCCTTAAGAAGGCTTGTAGCTTCATCAAGGCCACCAAGCCCGTTCACAGAAGCGTCTTTAGACCCTTCTTGGCAATCCTCAACCTTCTCATAAACCTCACTGTCGTTGAGTTCATCTATGGATGACACGATGGAAGCTTCCTCGCCCATAAGTGCCAGACACTGACGCTTCAGCGTCTTCCAGTCCCAGAACTCTGGATCAAAAGGCCACTGAGTCTTCAGGACGAGTAAGAGCTCACAGCGCAGGGAATTTGGTATTGGAAGATTCTCCTCATCATACTTCTGGTCAGGCTGGTTATAGAGCATTTCCACGGCGTAATACGCATCCACGGTGGGCTCGAGGAGGAACTCGCTCAGCTGACAAGCACGTTTCACCTCCAGGTCCTCTGGAAGCAAGCAGGAGATGGTCTTGCAAATGGAGATCTTGACATCCGTGTTCTCACTGGACTCCAGGCGCAGAGCTTTGACACACAGCTCAATGCAGGTCGCCAGCCCAGCACCATCGATCTGCAAGGCAACACTCGTGTTAGTGAGCCAGCCCAGCACGGCCCGTCCACCCCCTGAGGCAAAGGTGGCACTGTCAGCAAAACCTGGAGCTCAACCCTATACTTCTAGAGACTTAACAGCACCTAAGGGCAAACCACTAAGCTGCATAGTTTGCCTTCATGCTACTAAAAAGTGGAGGTTTACACACGACTGAAAGGCAAATTAGCAGCATGTCCTGCCTGGTGTGAGGACTTTAGGACTGTATGTTAGAGGTGCTGAGTTCATAGTAGAGCAATACTGAGCTTTTTCCACGAAGTGAAGCTGCCAGTTGTGGCACAGTTGCTGGGGATGAATTCTGTGGAGATTTAACTTAACCCTGGGCAGAACTCGAATGGTACAAGGTGCTGCAGTTAAACATGTGATCTTGGAAATCACTGAAGGTGTAAAGGTTTCATTTTTAGAGACTACACCACTTCAAAGTCAACTGGCCTCAACTGAACACCAATTTCAGTCCAACTAAGAGTACTGAGCAACCTGCTCTGGTGGGAGGTGTCCCTGCCCAGGGCAGGGGTTGGGGCTGGAGGATCTCTAAGCTCCATTCCAACCCTTAAATTCTATGAGTCTATTAATCACAGTTAAATGTTCCATCATTTGAATGTTCCAAAGGCCACGTGCTCTTTTCCCAGTCACACCCTCAGGCAACACTTCCATTCATGGCCACCTGACAAGCTCTTTCTGCTGCCAGGGATGCCCAGAGAGGCTGTGGGATACATGAGAATAAAGTTCAGCAAATTCAGGAATGCACAGGTCTCCTACCTACAAGGTCTCCAACTGGTGCCACCAGCAAAATGATCCACTGCTCACTGGAGAAAGACCAGCTTGGCATGGAGCCGACAGAGCTCTAAGTGACCAGACCCTGTGAAAGTTGTTTTCCTCCCTCTCTCTAACTCCAGTTTATTTCAGATCTTTGGGCAGAAAACAGCCTTTAAGATGAGAAGCCCATGATTAGCCATACCAGAGCACTGCAGGAGGGAAACAGGGGGTTTAACTCTCAGGATTAATATCCTGCCCCACAGAAACCTCCCAACTCAAAAGTTCCCTGAGAGCTCAATTTAGCACCAACATTAAATATTGCACCTGCTAAGGAAACTAAGAAAATCAGACTCAGAGGTTAGCTGAGAGAGATGAACAGTTCTAACACAACACTGGGTCTAAGCCCACTAACAGCAAGTCTTTCATTTATCACAGTAAACTGCATCCTTGCAACCCAAAAGGGTTTTTTTCAGGGGGTCTTTTTTGCTTTTTAAGCTTTCTGTAATTTGCCTTTTCTTAAGTGTTAAAATGCATTCTTCATTTCCCTTTTTGCCTCCATTTTCTGTACTTTTAGAAACAACACAATGATGAGGAAGGTCAGGACCTCCAGAGGCCACGGGCAACAGCAGGGACTATACCCTCACCTCTAGTGTTTCCACCTCAGCTGTGGCATCCAGCTCTTCTGTTTATCCCCAACCCTTTTTTCCCAAAGGAACAAAGATGTTTCAATTATTCTACATGAACCGACTTTACCTGCAGAAAGGTAGTTGCTATGACCTTCCCTAAAACCAGTTAGGATTGCCCCAAAGCTGATGCTACACACAAAGACAAGATGTCCAAGCACCTTGCATCAATTTTCCTGATGACAGTCCCATTAAAAAGTGCCAAAAATATTCTTTGAGGAGTATCCTTACCTCTGAATTAATTACTTTAATCAGGAAGAAAATGTGATAAACAGTCTTAGTTAACACAGAAAGTTGACGACATCTCTCTAGATACACTTGAATAGAAGGCTCTACCCTTTGCTGCAGTTTACTCCAGAAAAGAGTCAGTTCCCTAGAACAAGAGAACAATATTTCAGGGCCAGCAAAGCAACCACTAATCTGATCACAAGAAATGCAAGACTGAGAACAGTTTTGTCATTGGGAGAGGGAAAAAAACCCCTGAATTTACTCACACCTTACCTTAGAGGGAAAAGCTCTTTTGAAAATACCCATGATATTATTATCTGAAGCTCCAAATTATGGCAGTGACTCAGTTCCACAAAGACAGCTCAGAATAAAACCACTAATACCACAATTTATGCTGCATAATTTACAGACCCATGATGTGGCCCCGAAAAAAAGTCTTGCACAGTTTTCTTTTCACACACTGGAATTGTGCGCTTCTCTCCTCTAACTAATGCCTAACAGCTATAGCAGACTGAGACCCCAGGGAATGGGCTGGAGTTGTGTCAGGGCAGGGTTAGGCTGAGATTAGCAACTGGTTCTTCTTTCCCCAGAGGTGTTTGGGCCCTGAACAGCTCCCAGGGCAGTGTCACAGCCCCAAGGCTGACAGAGCTCCAGAGGTGTTTGGCCAATGCTCTCAGCACAGGGTGTGACTGTCAGGGATGTCTGTGCAGGGCAGGAGTTGGACTGGGTGATTCTCAAGGGTCTCTTCCAGCTCTGAGTGTTCTGTGATCCTGTGAAAATTGGCTTTTCTCTGAGGTAGATACATTTTTCCTAAACTGCTTTTCTTTATGAGCTGAACCTGTGACTTAGGGAGAAATTAGCCCTCAAAGCCAAACACTATTCCTGCATCCACATTACCTCACTACTAGTTCATTCCTCCTTAGGTACAAAGAGCCAAGAGCATCTAGTACCTTGTGGAATGGTGTAACCCCCAAACTCTGAGCAGAATCTCTTAAGGCAAAACCTACAGGAGCAGTTTTCTCCTGCTGCTGCACATAAAAAGGAGCTACATAAACTGCTGCAGGAGTTGTACAGGTTTGCAAGTGGGCAGAGGGAAATTCAGACCCCAACAGCTCAAATATCTGCCAACAAAGACCAGTGGTTTGTTACCACATTCATGTGAGGAGAAAAGTTTCTCTGTGAGGATGTTCAGGTGGGAATCTTGCCCAGGGAGGTGGTGCAGTCACCATCCCTGGAGGTGTTTCAGAGGTGTCTGATGTGGCACTGCAGGATCTGGGTTAGGGTTTGGGGGTTCCAGCAGTGACAGGTCAATGGTTGGACTCCATGAACTTGCTGGCACTGTAAAGCAAGCCCTGAGCAGGGACCTTCAGCTAACTTGTTGTGGTTACAGCAGCAGAACTCCTTTCCTAAGGTGTGCTGGAAAAAGCACACTGCATTACCTGAGGACAGGTGGGAACAGCCCTGGGGCACTGAATGCTGACACAGTGCTGACTGTTTGTCTGCAGACATGACATTTCTTACTTCTACACTATTCATCAGCTGTTGGTACTTGCCTCATCCTATATGCAGCCTTCAGATTCCTGTAACGGAAGCTAAACCTTGCAAAATCCTGTTCTCTCTTCTTTCTCAGCTTTCCAGGAGCTTTATCTCCTTCCTGTTCAGCTCACAGATTCTATCAGTGACAGAAAGTTAACTCATGGCTTATGTATCAGCTCTATCTTCCCCAGACTGTCTTCCCCACACTTTGTTCCAGCAGGCAGCAAACAAGCTCCAGACTCACCAGGCACAGTACATCTCTCCCTGCTGCAGCTGGCGAGACAGGAATGCTGCACATAAAATCAGAGCACTTTTCTCATCTCCATCAGATTCCAGGTTACAGATCATTTCCAGAGCATCTTTGCAATCTACTTCTGCAATCTAGAAGGGAGAAAACAAGAACAAGGCTAAGAAAGTGGGTTCATTTTCAGCCATAGAATCATTTGGGCCTTTGGAAAAAGACAGGAATTCAGAACTCAGTGAGTGTTTAGCAATCAGAGATTAGCTTGAAAGCAAATCAGTCTGTTCCCAGGCAGTGGCAAAACTGATTGTGCCACCAGACAAACTGTTCTGTTACTGTGAGTATAAACTTACTTCTCAGAGATATGACTTACTTGCACCTACTGCCCCAGGCACCTAAGAATTTTAAAGCACAGCACTGATTATTCATATACATTACACAGACAACTGAGAGATGCAGATGAGCAACTTTAAATTGCAGCTTAACAGACAAAATTACCTGAAGTCACTGGTATTATTACTGCTTTGTGCTCAGTGTCCATGTGGAGCCCAGAGAGAAGTGCTGTCCCTCGGGGTCAGTGCTGTCCCTCGGGGTCAGGGCTGTCCCTCTGGGGTCAGTGCTG